CTGAGGTATATTTGATTGTGATAAAGTGGAACTATTGCAATACTTCAGGTAAACTTTAAATATCTTGCGTTTAAATACAGATATTATTCAAAGATCATACTCATCAATAGTGACATTAAAACACATTTTAGGCTTAATATTAAGAAATGTGCATTGTGCACAAGTAGTACTCCAAATAAAGTTTAATTATAATTTTTATATCAGTCGTGAGCGACATGTTAGTAAATATGTTAATAGATTTTCTAACTATTCTAAGTATGAAATAAATTTATTTTAATTATATTAACTTTTTTTAGTTATTCTATAGGGTATTCCTTCAAAAATTCATGACGATATGTGGATTAATATATATATATATATATATATATATACTGTATATATTATCATTATCATTAAATATTATTATACTTATGTCACATACTGTATGTATTTTTATTTAACAGCTTATATTAACTTTTTTTAGTTATTCTATAGGGTATTCCTTCAAAAATTCATGACGATATGTGGATTAATATATATATATATATATATATATACTGTATATATTATCATTATCATTAAATATTATTATACTTATGTCACATACTGTATGTATTTTTATTTAACAGCTTTGCTAACATGAGCGACAGCAGACTTACTGACGGGAGCACTAGCACACATCAAACTGCATGTGCCTACTGACAAGCTGATTTGCAATATGGGAAAGACTATAGAAGCCTTAAAGTTTTTTGACTGTTTCAGCATCAGGGTATTTACTGATCTGCAGCCTATGGTTTTGGTTACATGGTCCAGAAGTGTAGACTGAGATGTTGCGGCTCCAGATGATGGATCACAGCTCCAGCTCCACTGTTAGGGGCTCTGAACCCGGAATGAGGGTCTGGCGTGGAGAGAATGTAGTCAATGCTGAATTTGATCTCGGGCTCAGGTTTGTTTTGGGCCGGTCTGTGACTAGTGTTCACAGGGCAGAAAGAATCTGAATCCATGGGTCTTACTGCAATGCCCTGATGAGTGTCCATGGCAACAAAGGGTTCGGCTGGCTCCTTCAGGCCCATTTTTAAGTTGCGTCTGCGGCGGCGGCGACGAAAGTTGCCATTTTCAAAGAGGTCCAGCATGGACTCGCAGCCTGTGGCGAATGTCCAGTAATTACCTTTTCCTTTCTCGTTACCTTCCGTGCGGGGCACCTGAGGAAAACAAATAATCAGCAGCCAGTTACAACAAACCCCTAAAGTTAGGAAAACCATTAGTAATAATGCCTTTACCTTACTAATTATAACTATGGGTTCTCTTTACTATTTCTTAAGCATTTATTGCAACTGAGTACAGATTTCAGAACTTGCTGTGATGCACAGCGTAACAAAACAATCTGGTTGTTTATATATTGGAAATTGTTCATTCATTCGTTTCTTTTTTTATCTTGGTACTTGACGTTTACGTTTTAACATACACATCCAGTCTCCATCGTACCTTTATAAAGCAGCTGTTTAGAGAGAGGTTATGACGAATTGAGTTTTGCCAAGCCCTCTGGTTGGTTCTGTAATAGGGAAATCTCTTCATGATGAACTCATAGATTCCTGATAGGGTAACTTTGTTCTCTGGGCTCTGCTGTATAGCCATCGCTATTAGTGCAATGTAACTGATAGAGAGAGACAGAAAACGGACGTCAGAGAAAGAGTAAGAAACAGATTTGTCCCTTCAAAGCGGTCTGTATCCCTTAATTTAGGGTTTACAAGCTTATTTGCAATCATTCATACACACACAGAAATAATGAATAGAATATTACAAATATAATATACTTTAAATGTAAAAATATACTTTAAATATATAATTAATATACTTTAAATGAAACTCTATTAATAATATTGTAAGAGACTCCATATTGCAAGTGCGCTCTGATCAAGCCAACAGCAAAGTTACTATAATTATAATTATTAATACATATTGCTGTAATTATATATATATATATATATATATATATATACATACATACATCATACACACATACACATATATACATAATATATATTTCATAACTTATATTATAATAACCTTTCATTAATTACTTATAAACGTTATTACCCTCTGTAATGCTTAATACTTCACTAATGTAGCAAATTTAGAAATACATATTGAAACATACAATAATAAAAAACATCATAACAATAATAACATTAACTAGTATTTAATTTAATTTACAAAATTATTGTAAAAGTGCTCAATAAAAAGTGCTAATTTATTAAATTAATATATAATTAATTAGTAAATTAGGCTACTTTTACTACTTTTTATATTATATCTAAGACAATATAATATAATAAATATATTAAATAATATAACAGAATAGAATATAATAACAGCAACAACAACAATGAAATACCTGTAAGCTGGTCGACACACTTTCTTCTCTTCTTCAGTGCCACATGAGGGGTATCCTTCTCCATCATAGTTAAAACAGTTATAAGGATATTGCGAACTGTCAAACATCATCAGACGTCCAGGGCGTAATGAGAAAGGCTCTAGCTGGCCAAGACAAATGAAGCAGCTCTCATGAGAAGTGTTTGTGAGTGTGTGTAGGGGAAGTGGCCGGCTGCTGCTCAGATGCTCATATAATGGGCGTACATGACTGGAACTACTGTAAACGCCTGAACCCGGGGCGTGATCAACAAACTCTAGCCACTCATTCACTCTTTGATTCTGGGTGGTCCGGTCCTCGGGATTGGATGTTTTGTTTTGTCCCGTTTCTTTTTATAGTCTGATCCTCTTAACTATATTTGAATGACGAATGAAACATTCACAAACATGTATCTCGTGCCTTTAGTCTTAACTCTTTCAGGTTGTTTGTGTTGTGTTGAGTTGGGGCCCCTTGAATCACATATCTCTCGGCAACAACTCTTGGCTTCTGTAGATGCAATCTATAATGCGGCATAATAGCCATAAATTGTGTTTCCGTGACTAAAAAGGGGATGCGTGTTCAAAAGAACATTAAGTGGCTTATGAGGGACCGAGAAACACGAGCAAACAGCCCGCGGCGCGAGATGTCTGTGTGTGGCCTCAGATCGATCTCGCGTCCTTGTTTGGACACATGCAGCTCGGACAGCTGGGACTGAACTCATTCATTTTTCTTTTTAAATGATACACAACGTCAAAATTGCCCTTGATTTGATGTTTTAGCAGGTGAGGCGTTCCGTTGTTTTGCGTTCGTTCGTTTAAAATGAAGTTTACAAACGCTCATGTGGCGTTTCCTGTCTGAGTGCACAGAGAGTGCGATCTGATAACGGTCCCCGCGGAGTCCCGCTCCGTTCCCATGACGCCGTTTCCTCTGCTGGGCCGTCTGCGGCTGCTCTGATCGCTCCAGTCCCTGTCCCCCCAGACAAGACCATTACTGCACCAGCAGAAAAACACTGTGCACCAGGGGCAGACATTAACCAGGGCTTCAGGCAAAACGGCCCCAGATAGTTAAAAGGGCAAAATGACCCTGTCTCCATTTGTATCGACTGTTATAGGTGTATAATATTTAGGCTGATATATTTCATTAGGAATAGCTTACATGCCTAATAGATGCATTCCTCTGAAGTCACTGTAGTAATAAGTAATAAGCTTTTAACATGTTTAGGCCTTTCTTTCTTTCTTTCTTTCATTATATTAAAAAAATACAAACTAGATTAAAATACAGTAATGTAAATGTATTTATTATGTTATATCACAATGCATTATTTAATGGTTCGTTTAATTAATATTGATTTTATAATAATATACCAAGTCATAACTGTATTATATTAAAAAAATACAAACTAGATTAAAATACAGTAATGTAAATGTATTTATTATGTTATATCACAATACATTATTTAATGGTTCATTTAATTAATATTGATTTTATAATAATATACCAAGTCATAACTGTTACGATTAAAGCCTTATTGATTTTATTAGTAGCCTGTTTAAAGAAAATAGTATTTCTTTAATATTCTGAAAATATTTCATCGTACTTCTCGTACATTGTAGAGTTTTTTTACAGCACTATTTAGATGCTCACCAGAACCAAAACTACATGTAACACTTTAATAACTCTGTCATAATTGACCTAAAAACATTATTAATGTCTGCATTGATTTTGCACCACATTTTGAAAAAGTATACATATTTTTTAGAGCTGTCAAACGATTAATCGGATCCAAAATCAACGTTTTTGTTTACATGATATATGTGTGTGTATTGTGTATATTTATTATGTATATATATAAATACACACACATACAGCATATATTTTGAAAATATGTACATGTATTTACACGTGTATGTTTATATGCATATCATTTATATTATATAGATAAACAACATATTTTTCTTAAATATATATCATGTAAACAAAAACTTTTATTTTGGAAGCGATTTATCGATGAATCGTGCACACATTTTTTTCAATTATTGAAAATGATATCTAATTATTTCTGAGGTTCTATTTTAAACACAGTCTCATTTTAGCTTAATGTGTTAAATAAAGTGGGACAGTGGCCTTCTGTACAGTGGGACAGCTTTTAATTATCATACCATTATGAGCTAATATATAAAGAACCATGTCATAAAACAGTCCAGACATTTCCTAATCACTTTAATTGTAACCACTATAGCATAAAATGTTTCTACATGGCCTCTGGTCATTAGCTAGTCTAGATAATTGATCAATTGGAACTATTTAAACAAAACTACACATTTGATCACTTTTAGAACAAGCATGTGATTTTGTAGCAATTAAATAAAAGCAAAGTATTTTCTGTAAATGCATTTTAGTGATAATGATGTCTAATTTTTATGAAAAAACGAAACGGTGAAAAGCAGTGCCTACACAACAAAATCCCCAATGTAAAATTAACTGCTGGTGTCCATATAATCAGTGTGGATTATACTGGATAAAGCAGTGTTAAGATACTGTCTGTGATGTATTCAAAAGTATATCATTTTTAAAATTAAATTATTATACATAGAACATCTGTAGAAGACCATTTGCTTAATCTTTGTTTATTGCACCATAACCAAGGGGAAAACTGAAACAAAAAGTCCCAAATAAGAGACAAAATATGACAGCAACAGCAAAAGATACTGTATTTCTTTGAAAATGTGAAAATACTAACTGTACATATAAATAAAACAACAAAATGTATGGAACTGTGGTGTAGCCTTGGTATGCTGAACCACATTTATTCTGCTGATTACTGTCATCTCCACAACCGAGTATTCAAGTATATTTCTAATTGCACAGGCACTGAATTCACATATTTACAGAACTTTTTCAACAGTTAGTCGAAACGTGTTTGGTAGTACAACAAGAGATGTAAAGAGCTCAACATAAACACCAACATCTTTCCCACCCTCAACTAAAAAGACACTAAATGTTACAATGTACATGCTATACATACGCTGAAGCATATAATATATACAAAATTATACTAAGAAAATAGTTCAATCAGCAAAACTAACATGACCTCTGTGCTTCTGCCAATGACTTTGGGTTATCCAAAAGTGGTAATAACGCTTCAGTTAACCGTCATCTACTGTTTCTTTAAGAGCTGTGTAGTTTCTAAAAACATTTCTTAAAAATCCCAATTTAATGTATTTATTCATTTTCTCAAAATTCTGCAATAGAATGCTAATTCAGAAACAGAGGACTAAAGATGTGTAACTTATACCATCATATAGATCTAAAAAAGCATCATTCACACTCCTCTGAGCACAACAAAACAGTTTTTCAAAATTTTCGTTTAATAGCATGAAAATTCTACAGTGATTCATAGATTTGACATTATTAATCAGTATCCTTGTGCAATTTAAGGGCTACATTTTTAGGTCACGTGGGTGGAAATGCAGCAGTCACACTCAACTATATTTATTACTGATATTCGAATGTCCAGTTTTTGATATTGCATTAAATATGACTGAAAAAAGATCTGATATGCTGGAAATGATGCGAGTTGTTACATCTTAAGGACATTTCTCTGAAATCCAGTAAACCATCACTTTTTTTCAAACATATACTGCACATTGTTACTTATCTACTCACATAAGCACAAATACTGCAACTGGTTTAAAGGTAGGGTATGTCATTTTTCAAAAACACTTTAAAAAACTGATTCGGGCCGAATAGCAAAACAAACTTGTAGCCAATCAGCAATAAGGGGCGTGTCTACTCGTGATGTGGAGGAGAGAGCTTTCAGTGCATGGGACGAACATTAGCCGAGCCGAGCAACAGAAAGATAGAGATGACGGATAAAAAACAAAAGAGGAAAACGTCTGCGGAACAATAAGGCAAGAAGTAGGACCCGTGTAAATATCGGATCAGCTTTCCAGCGCTGGAGAGAACTCGAGGAGCGGAGGCCTGCGATCGGACGCCGAGGTTGCTTTGTCAATGGGAGAGTAACACCGTGTCTACAACAGCTAAAGTCTGCCTACACTGGATGCGATCAAACGACCGTTGAAAACCATTTGAAATTTGTGTCAGCACGTCATAAATAGAACCCGGCAGCAGTTTTCTGTCGGGGATTTGTTGCGCCGCGCCGCTCACGTCTGATGTAGACATGGTGTAACATTGGTTTTGCTTTGTTTCACAGAACTAATCGTTGCCTGGGTTGCGTACGCATATGTGGGGCGGAGCTATCAAAATAGGGGCAAGACCCTTTTGGGGTAGGGGCGTGTTTGTTTTGGTGATTTCAAATATCAACATTGGCTACCAGAAATCGCTTACCCTGCCTTTAATGTTCTAGATGAATCTACCTCTTTGATTTGTAACAGAATTTATGAATGGCATGTTTGGAATAATAAATATGAAACTCAATAAATAACCTCTGATCAGCTATAACAGGGGTGTCAAACTCAGTTCCTGGAGGGCCGGAGCACTGCAGAGTTTTGTTCAAACCCTGCTCCAACACACATACCATGTAGTTTTCAAATAAGCCTGAAGGACTCGATTAGTTGGATCAGGTGTTTAATTAGGGTTGAATCTAAACTCTGCAGGGCTCCGGTCCTCCAGGAATTGAGTTTGACACCCCTGAGCTATAACGTGACAGACGGGACACTTTTGGGAGAAAACTCACATTTCACTCAAAGCATTTTGTCCTAAATAAGGTCAAGAAAAATACATTGCTATATGAAAGCACAGTTCCTCTCATTCCTCCTTGGTATGGAGAGAGTATAAAGAATTTTATTTGAAGACATGAAAGTCCACATTTATTCAGACAAAGGTGCACACGTCTCGTACAGCGGTGAGAGAGTTTGTGAAGCTGTAGTTCCTCATAAGTAGGGATGCACGATATATCGGCCACCATATCGGTATCGGCCGATAAATGCTAATTTTTTCTGTTATCGGTATCGGCCTGATAAAAAAATTTGGCCGATATCTTAAAGCCGATAAATAATGCATTATTTCCTTCAGAGACACTTCAGATGCGCGCTGTTCGTTTGCAGCCTTTTGTGCAATTGTACGTTGTAATATTGTGTTTATTTGATGTACAGTATATCTGATTTATCTCATATAGAATGCATTTGGTTAAGTTAAAAGAGCGCTTCAGTTTACCGGTGATCATCTTTAGCTCAGCACACGCAGCTCAAACAACAGTGCACAACATTAATAACTATGATTGGGAATGTCGTGTATATAACATTCTAATGAGAACATTATTATAATAAAACGTTGTGAATTCTTTGGGTTTAGTTGCCGTGTTTCAGCGCGTTGTTATGGGAAGAGCGCATCCACAACAGGATCACACATTCTGACTATAGCACGCAATAAATAAGTTTGAACTGAAATGTTGCCTTCTTTAGCTGCAAAAACGTCAGCCAAACATTCACTGTAGCTGTTGGTCTGTCCTGCACATCCTTTGCTTATTTCTTAAAAAAAAAGTGGCTATAACTTTAAAGTTCAAATAGTTTCCCAACGGGACAGCAAATACTGGTTTAAATGGAGTACTCATTTAGATCCTTTATAACAGTGGTTCTCAACTGGATTTGCTTTGCACCTCACATTGGACAATATGTGGCAACACAATACAGAACCAAAGGCTGTTTTTTTAATCAAGTAATAATGATTATAATAATAATTCTTATTATTATTGCTTAGGCCTAATCATATACCAAATTAAATAACATAAACTGAATAGGATCTCTTTTTTTCACTATTGTTTATATACTCTTGTAATAAACTAATTATTATTATTAATAATCCATCAATATTTATTTATTATTATTATTATTTCAGTTTTGTTTGCACTGTATTTTATAAGCTGCAATAATAATACTACTAATAAAAAATACTATTATCACCATTATTTTTATTATAATTATTTGCATTTAAGTGTTGTTTTTTCTTTGCTGTCCACATCAGACAAGCCCATTTTAAGGTGACAATCCACCAGCTGAGAACCACTGGCTGTTACATGTGAAGATCAGCTTCCATTTTGGATGCAGGGCTACAGAACACCGTCTCTTTCTCTGTGTACTGCATGTCTTTATTTTAACACATGGTCCATTAGTTGAGGAATGAGTCTTTGGAATTCACTGAATTCAGAAAAGTTTATCAACAAGAGCATCTCTTGCAAGACGTTCATGGTCCATAGAGCTGTGGTGGGACTTCAAAGGAGCCGCCGGGGGCGCCTGATCAGTCTGTGCCCACTACCTTTGTGGGGCTGTGCCCGTGTTCAAGCCCTCCACAAGCAGGTCATCCTCTACTACGTTACTGTAGCCCTCCTTCTCAATGCAGTCGGCCAATACCTGGAGCACCAGGTGCAGCCGGCGGTCCATGGCCTCCAGATGAGGCCTAATAAGGATGGGTGACAGCGTATCAGTCTGCAGACTTTCCTCCATCAGAGCACTCAGTCTGAACTCCTCCTTAGCCAACAGCTGAAGCCGTAAATGAGTGGACCTCTTCACCCTGAGTCAAACAGAGAGTCAGAATCACTAACCAAAAACCACCAAGTCGTTTCCAATCATTTATGTAATAATTTATCAATGCATTTTCTTGTGGGATGAATTAGGATCAAATTTAGGACATTTTAGGATATTAGTGAATGAATTAGGATGAAATTAGGACATTAGGAAATTAGTAAATAAGTGTTTGCCCACTTTTTCAGCAGCCTTGGAGTATTTTTTCCATTTTTTTAAAGTCTTTGTTAAAGCGTTATAAACCAGGAATCACTCCAACCAGCTATGAGTTGAATCATAACATCACAAAACCTTGATTTGAAGCAAAAAGGTATTTGAAGATCAGGCAAAAAGACAAAGGTACAAGACTGTGTGCTTTGACAGCAGAGGGAAATAACTACAATTACAATTCCAATGCGAATTACATAACTGAATTAAAAAGATGGTGAAATTAAAACTGTTCATTTAAAGTTGTTGATAATATCTATGACAACAATGTATTTTATAAGTTTATTGCAAAATATACATATATACAAAGCCCTCCACTAAATTTGATTGATTTGTTGAAGTATTGTGAGAGCATAGGGAGACTAGCTAGTTTATGTCAGTGCTCCATGGAAGAGGGTGACTGTACTGCATTATGGGTAATGTAGTTTTTTACCATGAATTCAGCTATTTAAAAAAAATGAATTAAAATAATAGCTTTAACAAAACCATCTATTAACAACCTCATAGCCCACAACAGGTCTGTTTATGAGGTTTATAAGATTAACTTCTAATCTTTGTTAAAAGTCAAGAACCTGAATGTTGTACTCCATTGCAATTAATCACATAATAATAGAATAGAATAATTAAATGACATATATAAAACAGGTCAACTTTTATAATCCTAATTTTAAAAGATCATTTCAACCATACAAATAGTGAAATTGCAGTTAAATGCGGCTTAATTTGACAGCCTTGATTCAAACAACTTTCGGAATTTCTTATAAAGTGATTGGACAAATATTGAATAATAAGTCATTAATAAAGCAAATACTAACCTGCAGCACTGACTCAAAGGCACCAGTATGGATAGCTCATCATGAGAATGTTTACCAAAGCTGAAGATTAAAAGAGAAATCAGACAGAAATTATTTTTTTATGACAATACTTCACAGCATAAAAAAACGCATATTTACTAATAACAAATTGAAGAAGCTAGTTGTATTATAAGAGTCTTACCCTCTTCCATTATCAAGGTGAATAATGAAAGTTTCATTTCCAAATTTTTCAAATGTCTCATAATGATGACGATCCATATTTCCTTTGAAGATACATACACATTATTATTTATGCCTTAAATAGCTTGATTGGATTTCAGCTTCAATTGTGCATTCAGAAACAAATGATGCACTTCTGTGAAATCCTCTTACCCATGAGGAAATCAAAAATGGTCATGTCCATGATGTCCAGCAGGCGTGTGCCGCTGTCATAGGGTGGCGTCTGCTTCACCTCTTCGCAGTAATCTGGATCCACCTCCCACCTACAAACACACACACACACACACACACACACACCTCGTTAGCTTACACACTCACACACTATACAATGAAAAACAGCAGAACATGATGAAGGTCACTGTAATAAGACACTAGAGGGCTATCATGATAATCTGAGGAGAAACTGGATCATTAGAACTGAGCAGATAAAACATGTTGCATGTTTAATACCCTCCTATTCAGGATTTTATAATGAGTATATCCTGTATTTCAGCCTTCAACACTGTGTGAATGTGTTTCATGCTAAGACAGCTAATCTTTATATATATTCTTTATATGTATTCTTGAATTGAATTTAGATCAACAAAGAAAGTGTGCTGTGTGGTCCTCACTCTGCTTTCTTGCGTTTGTGATAGGATCGTCTCCAGGGGTTTCTCCAGGTCCTGCGCTTGGCCAAGGCCAGGTCGGGCAGAAATGCTGCTAAAGAGCCCTCGATCTGGTCAGGCTTTCCGCACAGGGCATGCTCAGTGGAGCAGTAGTACGAACATTCACCGTAGAAACAGATGTTATTGGCTGCAGGGATGATAGGGTGTAATAAAACAAACCTCTTAAAATGATGACATACAGTTCATATTTATGATGATTATTTTAAAGTCAACATTAAATAAAAAAATGACCTAATTTGCATGTTCTGGACGTATTGTGCATAATTTTATGAAATTAAATGTCTTAGTAAAAAATACATGTAAATATAATTAATCAAAAGTAATTAATATAGCAAATATGATGAATTCTCCTTAAGCATTTAGTAAAAAAAGAAGAAAGATTAGATTCGATTTTTAACTAGAAATGTATTTTGTTTGACTTGTTGCATTAAACATTTTTGTCTACTTTACAACACTGTTTGGTTCCTCTAATCAAAAGGGAGAAACAAAAATCTGACTTTTAAACAATTTCAGAGAAAATTATAATCAAAAGGATGAATAATAAGACAATTAAATATTTTTATTAATTAATCAAACAACACTTTTGTTGAATATCCTGTTTCACCTGGAAACATTATTGTATTGGTTTCGATCAGCATTTCATATTTAGTTTAAATGAGTTTTTAATCATGCAGACTGGAGCAATAGCTGCTGCAAACACAGATTTTCCATCACAACAAATTACATTTTAAAATATATTACAATAAAAATGTTTTAAAATGTTACTTTAAATCATTAATATTTCTAAACATGAAATGTTTTTACTGTATTTTTGATCAAATTAATGTTTTTACAAAAACATTTACAAAAATGTAGAAAACTTTTAGAAGGCTCTTGTATATTTTTCAATTTCAGGGGATCATATGGCACAAATCTGAAGTTGGTGTCAAATGAGGTCTCACTTGAAAATTAATTTACCAACAGCGCCATCTATTGGTTGCTTACAATAGTAAGAGAAAATCACAGTCTCCTTTGATTTGGTTAAAAAGCAAAGAGGAGAAAGTATGCAAAATATGATAATAAAAAAAACTAGATCTTGCCTCAATTATGCTTGTTTGGGTCAAAACTATTAATTTGAATAAGTTCATTAACCTCAGCCTAACTGATAACTTATTCAGTGATTATCAATTGCTGGTAACAGAACAGAATAGAATTGAAGAGAAGAGAAGAGAAGAGAAGAGAAGAGAAGAGAAGAGAAGAGAAGAGAAGAGAAGAGAAGAGAAGAGAAGAGAAGAGAAGTGAAGTGAAGAGAAGAGACTTCTGGGTGTTCAGTACCTGGTGAAATGAAAAAGGTTCTCCACAGTTTTTTGTCACGGGTCACATCTCGTATCTCTTTGGTCATATTCACCAGTCGTCCAGTCACTGGCGGCACTCGACGGAAATCCAGGATCCTGTTGATCAATCAACAGGAGAGACATTTTTGTTTTCATAATATGTTCACTTCACATAGGTCATACATTACATACTAGGTTCACTGCTGAGTTACAGGACACAAATTAGTGTAAACATCATGTGTTAGATAAACTAGTTATTATAATTATTATTTTTTGACTGATAAAATATGTGCATACTGTGTACGGATCACACACACACACATGACCAAATTCATATAGCAAATTGTTGGATGAAACTATAGTATGCAAAATTGGTACTAACTTTTACCAGTAGAGGGCGCTCAAACTATTCTACATAAAATACATAGATTTTGAATAATAATTTTTTACCCTGTTAAGAGATTAAACTTTTTTTTATTTTCATCGCAAACCCTTTTAATTACTGTACATTTCATATTTCATAACTTAGCAAATAATACATTTTTATTCATGATTGTCTCTTTTGACAGAACTGACCTTGAACAAAACTGAATGTATTGTTGAATGTGACAAATGTGTAGAGTGTTTCTTTCTGACTGAACCGGTTATGAGTGAGCGTGGTTTGCTCATCCATGTTTTAAGACCTATTCACCCCGCGTGCAAGTGTAGACCCGCTGCTGACAGGGCAACTTAGAAAAAATCACCCTGAAAACAACTAATGGACGGGGCCTAAGGGATAAAAAGCACTTGAAGCTACTAATTGCCCAGTCATGCTGACAGAGATGACAGAGAGAGTTTGTGTGCAGGAGCGTTTTCCTCCTCTCTCGCTGTCCGATGTATAACTTAGAGGGAACTGTGGGGCAAATGAAAAGTTGTCTTTTCAAACCACTCGTCTCCCTCAATCCTGACTTTCTCCCCAAAGCCACGCTAATGTGAGCGTTTCCCATCGACTAAAATCAGATAATTAATGGTACATTGTCAGATATAGCCGTGGTGGGCTTGCGAGGACAGAGAGGCCCACTGGGTGATGGTGCTTTAAAATAGAAATAACAACCTGCACTTTTGTCTAACCCAGATGAACTTTATTTAGAAAAGCTGGTGTTTCTTTGCGTTCTTGGTCTGCGCTTTCTACCCACACACATGCCTGTGTGTACCGACTAGATTTTACTCCCGACCAGATGTGCAGATGGAAGTGAGGCGGACCAGGCCAGTCTGGGCCGGGCCGGGCCAGCTGAATGATTATATTGTGCCCGAGACTCACGCTGGGTTCATTCTGACTCACACTCACACTGCTGGAGAGGAGAGGCGGAGTGCTTGACAGAGAACAGCACAGGACAACACAACACAACACAACAGCCAAGTGAGGGACCTCCATAGAGTGGACCAAGGCCATCACTAAAATTCACTAATTGTTATGGCTGGGCCCCCTCTCCCTAGGTTCTATGAGTAGTTTATATTACAGAGGACATTACACTCCAAAAATCACTTTGTTTTAAAAATGATTCTTAAAAAATAATAGAATAATAAAGATAAATAATATTTAAATAAAATAAATATGCGAGAAGCAAATTTGTATAAGACAATAGGATTCAAAATTTATTTTAACATTTATTTATTATACCTAAAACAGTATTATTATATTATATTATATTATATTAATGTTTTAAGTTTGGAGTCTGTGAGATTTTTTTAAGGTTTTTGAAAGACATCTCATACTTACCAAGGCTGCATTTATTTGATTAAAAATATTAATATAGTGAAATATTCTTACAATTTAAAATAACTGTTTTCTTTGTAAATATATTTTCAAACATTATTTACATTTTCCATTATCTAAATTACTTATAGTGGAAACCTTGATACATTTTTTGTCAGGATTCTTTAGAATTTATTTAAACTTTTATTTTGACTTTTTTTGTAACATTATACATTTCTTTACTGTCACATTTTATTACATTAATGCATCTTTGCTGAATAAAAGCTGCATTTATTTCTTTAAAAAAAATCTTGACCGAAACATTATATTATATTATATTATATACTTTTTGTCAAGCAATTTGTGATTTTTGTCCATAGCGCCTCCTCTTCGACAGGGCCTGGGACAACGTTTTTCCAGGTGTCCACCCCCGTCTGATCACATTGATGAGGAGAAAACGAGACGAGAATGGAAATAAACTATAATGGCAATAAATCCCAGAGTCTCAGATCACAATCGGGGAAACTCTGACTCATATAGCAAACAACCAATAAACTCGACTGAAATGAGCTGACAAGAACAGATGTACACCCGGGTTACACGGGTTATTGTGCCTGACACAAATGAAAGCCTCTCAATCACTGCCATTCATCAGAAGGGTAATCACCTATAAGGAGACATTGCTGGATGGAGCTCGATTGGTGATCAGATACTGACGGATGTGTTTGTGCTCACAGTGAGTCATTATGTTCTCTCTGGATTTGGTGTTTATGAGTGTTAAACTGCAGGTTTCTGACTGCTTACTGCCCTGAGATACATTCACATGCTGTACTTTCACACATACATATAAACACAAGTTCAAACCTGCTGAAAACATGCAGGACACACCACAAGTGTTACACATTCACACGCACACAAAACATTCTTGCGCAAATAAATGCAGCCCCACAGGTTCATATACACAAGCAGGCAAACACTTTTACAAGTGGCATGTGGTGGATGTATACATACACATATAGATTCAGGGGAAGACAAACATCTCACACACACTCTATTCATCCCAGAGGCTGATATTTACGGCCCGTTACCTGTCTAGATGATATGCTGCGATCTCAGCATTGTGCCTCTCGAAATCGGAGAAGTAGAAGAAGTCTGGGGGTGTCTCCTGCTCCCGTGTCTGCCTGCAAGGCAAAGGTTAATCTGCTGTAAGTCCCTTTCATCAACAAAGCCATAATCGCAGCCCTAGCCCTTGAAACTAAAGCCACCCTGTCAAGAAAACTTTAAGAGAGACGCCCCTCCATTATTTCTGGATTGATGCCTGGAAGAAAATGTCTTAACATATTTTTCAAAATACCTTATTTTATTACTTACTCACTTAAAAATAACCGAAGGAACCAAGAAAACAGAAAAGCAATGCGAGTTACAAATGCTGCAATGCTAATAGCGTAATACTAACGACTTTTCTATTAAAGACCATGAAACAGCTTGAAGAACACAGTTTTCCTTCCTGTATTGATGTATTTCCTATGGAATGAGGTTGTTTGGACGAAACATATAAAATAGCTGTCCTTTTTTTTTTTTTTTTAAATCAATGAACCATGATCTGCTAGTTGCTATTGTTAGTGAGTTGCAAAAAATCTGTGTAGTGCAGACGGTTAATTTTGTTAGCATTTAGGATTACACTAGCATAAAGCTAACTGACATGGATTTAAAGCCACAATACTCATATAAGGTCTTTAAGAACATCCAAAATTATGATATTGTACATGAGCAGTTAATAACAGACCAAACAATATGAAAACAATATCATTTAATCAATACTTGTAGGTCAATGGAGGACATATCAAGTTCCAGGCAAACATTTCTCTACAGACAAGAGCCAGAGGAACTATTTTTAACCAACAGCCTGACTTCATACGGTCCCGCTGAAATGCTTTCAGCAGACTTGATTTCAAACATACTTGAGATTTCTCTCTCCTCTCTTCCCTCCTCTCTCTCTCTCTGTGAGTGCTGTCCGAATGTCAGAACAATTAAATCCAGCTGGGATCTCTCCTTTCTCGACAGTCTTAATCATGCGAGAAGACGGTTCAAAACAATAACTTTTCTGGGAAGTGAATCGTGTCACACCCCAACGTCTTTGTGGCAAACCGAACCAGTCTGAACCGAAGACAAGGTAGCTGGCATGAAGAGTGCCAGCTCTGTAATGGAAACAGATCCTTATCTTGACAAAATCAGGCATTCAGTATCATCCTCAGCTGGCAGCAGTCGTTCAAGACACGCTCACCGATCGTTAAATAACACAGCATGGGACCTGCCAAACGAGAGTCTCCAACTTCACATTCTTCTGCAGTCCGCTCCTCGGAGCCCTGGATAATATCGCTCTACTCGCCAACTGAGAACCTCTTTTCAGGCATGAAGAGAATTAAAATAGATTTGTGTTTCTGCCGGAAGAAACAAGCCTACTACTGCAACGAACCCAGAAGCATTCTTGTGATGAACTCATTGGACCCTTGCCCCCAGACGCTCAGATGTTTAATTGGCAGAGAAGTGTGTACGGGTGTTTCTTTTGGCCCTGTGGACTTTAAGAAAATAAACTCCCCTAAAACACTTATCACTCTCACTAATTTGTCCACTAACAGCAACTGGCAGTGTATTTACAATTATACATTTTAAATATTTACCCAAAATACTTCTAATATATACTAAACATTTTCACAAAATTACAGCCTGACTGGAAAATGCACAATAAAAATGTTCTGTTCACAAGAAATATTTCTTCACACATTACAATGACTCGTATATCATCTCAAGCTCTTCACTGACTCCTCAGTAAACAAGTACACCAATATTACAAAGATTTTTAATAGGTGCAAAATTGTTGGTTGCGATAAACATTATGTCAGTCAACAGGGCCATGCTTGTAATTTGTGTAGTTGCAGCAGATCATAATATTTTCACTCATTAAATAGGATTTATATGAAAGAGTTCATCAGTTTAAAAAGGTGGATTCACAATGGATTGTCATGTTTTAAGATTACAAAAAATACTATAATTCAAAAGCTTGGGGTCAATATGAAAGAAATTAATACTTTTATTCAGCAAAAATGCATTAAATTGATCAAATTTATAAAGTTGCAGAAGATTTCTACTTTACATAAATGCTGTTCTTTTGAACTTTATATTTATTATAGAATCCTGAATAAATATGTATCACTGTCTCCACAAAAATATTAAGCAGCACAACTGTTATCGATAAAAATAAGATATGTTCCATCGGGCACCAAATCAGCATATTAGAATGATTTTTGAAGAATCAGACTGGAGTAGCTAAATGCAGTCTTGGTGAGCATTAAAAAACATTCAAACATCTCATCGACCCCAAACTTTTGAACAGCAGTGTATATTTATATATTTATACTGCATTTTTAAAGAAGAAAAAAAGCATATAAGACATAAAACAAAAACAGAAATGAAATCTGCTAGTTTTAATAAAAATTAGCCATCAGGCTTCATAATTTCAGTACTCTGGATACTGCATCAGCCTGTTAGCACAGTTATTATGGCAGCTCACTGTCTAATGTACAGCAATGTAGTATTGTGTCTCTAAGCACTTATTGAGTACCACTGTGCCCAAGCACTTGACCCAGACAAGGCCTCCGCTGCGGTGACAGCACTTAGTATCTGCACACATCTGCCTCTGTTCTACAGTACACTTTTCATCAAATAGGATTCCATCAAGGTAAATTCAGTGCTTAACATCAACTCCATAACACAAATGGTCCCAACAGGGAAAAAAAAAACACACAAGCTTTTTAAAAGGCTTTGAGACAGCAGCTGATGGCAAAACCCTCTGAGGAGTGTTCTGTGGGTGGAGAACTTCAAACCCCCTCCTCTCACGCTGGCACTCCAGACAACCTTGTTAAGCTGGAGCTTGAGAGCTCTCATTTATTCCCGTAAAACCCCAGAGAGACACGAGGAAAACAACACTCAACTGGCTGTTGGACCAGAAAATTATAACAAAGGAAACCAGACACAGGCCAGCCTGTCAAAGGGTCAAAACAATCCCTGCGAAGAATTCTGTAAAGCTTAGTTTCCTACACTCGACACAAACGACACCTCGGAGAGAGGAAAAATTCCCTCTGTATTAGTAAGACGAGTTTATGAGGCACTAAATATAAAAACGAAGAAAACAAATGTGTGTGGGAGATTGAAAGCTCAAGGTGATTTTGTTTCCATTTCTTCAAACTCGCGTTCAGTGGATGTGGTTCACCCATAAAAGATGCCATGTGAATGGTCGCCACTCTTAACGTACACTTAAGATGGGCCTCTGGGATGTGTGCAGACATCTTAAAACCAACTCTGCTGAGAGCAGGATGTTTCTAGTGATCAAAATACGCTGAGAGAGCGCTCTCCATGACCCTGTACTTCAAGGTAAACACATTGTTTACTCCTGCCAGACCGACAGATTATTGGTGCATGCAAACAGGCTCACAAAGACACTGGTATATGCAAGTGCTTAACTGATATAATGAAAAAATAAATGGCAAAAAACAATTATTTATTAGAGATGCACTGAAATGTTACATTTCTGGCAGAGAGAAATGGATCTCAATCAATCATTTAGTCTCAACAATCTGTTTTACAAAATCCAATTAGAAAACACAAAATGTGGACTATTCATTAAAAAGGCAACCCACCCAAAACAAAAAACTCTCTTACTGTTTACTCGCCCTCATGCCATCCCAGATGCATACAAATATTTCTTCTGTGGATTTTTAGAATAATAATCCATCTCTGTGAGTTCATATAATGTGGATGGGATGGGTGGATGGGTCTCTCAAAGTTGATGCTTCAAAAACCATGCAAAACAAACACTACAGTAACCCATACAACCCCAGGGAATTAATCAGTAAGTTGCAAATTGAAAATGCACCCAGTGGAAACACGTCAATTTCGCAAAAACTCCCATATATCGCAAAAAAAGGTTTTTATGCTCACATGAGGTAGTTTTTCAGGCAATTCAAAAAGATTATTTCGCAAAACTGCAATGGAAACCGTTTTTTCCCATTTACAGGTCACCTGGCGTACGTAAAACTCACATGTTCATTTTTTAATGTACTATAACCTCCAAGAAACAGATCATAACTCCCGAGTATATAGGGCTGTTTGGATAACCCCTTATTTACACTGGACACGTCTGCAGTGCATTACGGCTCCAACACAGCCACCGTCCGGAGCTGATCACGGCAACTGTAGTCAATGCTTTTATTTACACTGTGACATGTTTCAGAAATGTCCCAGAAGCGGGTCTCTGCACTGCTTTGCTAAAGATACACGCCTACGTCTCCTTCGATTAAAAATAATGGCTGGTGCTGTGGCTGCGATATACATAAACCTACCAACATCAGACACCATGACTTATCACAAGGCGTTTTAGTTGCATAACATCGGTTAATGGAAGCGCTGTCACAGTTTTTTTGTTTATCAGCATTTATAAAATATCACAAAAGTTTTGCGCAAATCTGTAATGGAAATGCAGCTAATGTCTTCTAAAGCAGAACAATAGGCGAAACCTATTGTTTTACTTTAGAACACATTGACTGGGTTTTATGGATTTGTTTTGTGTGGTTTTTGAAAAGTCACATTTTTTGAGAATCCCATCCAATTGCATAACATGGATTTACAGAGAGGGATCATTTTTTTCTAAAACATTTTGTCTGAAGAATGAAATTCAAATACATCTGGGACAATGTGAAGGTGAGTAACAAACCAAACATTAGAGCTGACACTAGGCACTGTTAATTGGCCCAAATAAGGCATCAAATATGCTAAATATCAGCCAACCAATTGTCGTGGTCGAGATATATCCGTTTCTCACTACTGTACACAGGCCATGTCTACAGTATATGTAAAAGCTGGCCTTGCAAACAATAAAACAGCAGCAGATGAGAAAATTGCTGATGGACAAAGTGCAAAAGGTACAGACATCCACAGAAAAACCTGATCTATTAAGAAAACACACAGGAGCAAACAAATGAATCAAACAGGATACGGTATCTAGGACACTATATTCTGCCAAATCCCTTTGTTGGCTTTACACTGGACAAACACCAAAAAAGCTCTCACAATAGCTGTGAAAGCAAATTCATCTCTCAAAGCCTGATGGCTGCAGCACTTGTAA